TCTTGAAAGCGCGCCAAGTAACGCGATAGCCAGCGCTCCCGGCCTCCTGTTTCGAGGAGTGGCTTGCATCGCGAGCCGCGACACCTGTCCAGATCCTTTTTCCTCCGCATTTGGATGCTTGATTTACTTTTCCTTAATTTCTTCATCTTGATCGTAAATCTCTAAACGATATTGAACATTTGTACATTACGAAAACTTCAATTGTTGACTAGAAAATTTGCATACTAGAATTTTGCTCACGAAAACACTGGCAAAAAAATTTGAGTCAAATGTTCTTGTTAAAAAAGATGTCAAAAATATTAGGTTGTAACAGAATTAATGCAGGTTTTTCGCGCACCTTTTCTAAAATGCTGCTTTAGAAAGGGAAAGTGTTTTCTCACAAGGGAACGATCCCAACTTAAGGTGGCGAATTGGAATGAACCGCATACCATTAGATGCGTCTTGATGAGCTGATTCCAAATCTACCTTCCATATCTGCGACAACGTTATTTGCAAAAAGTTATGAGCGGTTGAAAATGTGAAGTTATTAGGGTTTTAATGCATAATGTGCTTCAAAATCCAACTTGAAAGTGCACGACTAGCATGATATTGAGTGTACTGATTTCACGGAATGCTCACATTCAAAAGGAACACAAATAAGTGTTTTTGAACAGCTAAAAAGCAACTAAAGCTCTTTGGTAAAAGCTGTGAGCAATGAAAAATCCAAATTTGGCAAATATGCGGCGCCATTTCTCGAAAATTAGTTGTTCAAAAACACTTATTTGTGTTTCTTTAGAATGTGAGCATTCCTTAAAATCAGTACACTCAATATCATGCTAGTCATACACTTTCAAGTTGGATTTTGAAGCACATTATGCATTGAAACCCCCAATAACTTCACATTTTCAACCGCTCATAACTTTTTGCAGATAACGTTGTCGCAGATATGGAAGGTAGATTTGGAATCAGCTCATCAAGGCACATCTAATGATATGCGGTTCATTCCAAATCGCCACCTTAAGTTGGGATTGTTCCCTCGTCAGAAAGTTTTGCACATCTTTTAAGAGCTCTCTTCTTCTAGTTTCTTATGCATTCTTTATTTTCAGTGGAAGCGAATTTGTCTAAAAGTTCTGAGCCCATGAATTTGAGAAACCAAATCTCGAAATTCTTTCTTTTAATATACCTGGCTCTAAAACCACCAAAAAAATTGGAATTCTTTGCAAATTTACACAGTATTTTTGAGCGAGCTATGTTACAGAATGCATATTGAATCATAAATTCTGAAAACACCTGAGCCGAGAAATCTCAGAGCAAAATTAAACGGTCGCCGTGGTCCGTTTGCCCTACATGAAAATTCGCAGCGCGAAGCGACTGCGGAGCTTCCGCTTTATATAGGAAGGATAGATCTTACAAGGGAATGGTCAGAAGTCGAAGTGGCTGAACCAAACAAGCTGCATACCATTCGATGCAGCATAAAATGCTGATTTCAAATCTGTTTTCCATATCTGCAGAGCGCCTTTGTAGGCGAAGTTATGAGCAGCTTTAGTGCGAAAAAACCGCATACAAAAATTGCAAAATCAGGCACATTATTGCTCTTTCAGCTCCACTCTAGGTACGGGTCATATGATGTGACCTGATTGCATGTTTTGGTCCAACACTGAGTCAAGAATGGCTTTGTACGGCCGAGTTCGCGCTTTACAAGCACAATTTCTTGGCAAAATAATGACATTCAACGGTTTATAATTTCGTCCACAAAAGCGCTCTGCAGATAAGGAAGACAGATTTAGAGTCAGCATTTTATGCTGCATCTAATGGTATGCAGTTTGTATGGATTGGCCACTTCGACTTCTGACCATTCCCTTGTTAGACATTTATGGCTGAAAAAATCGAGAGCCGTTCTCCCTATTCAGCTTAGAAAAAATTCAAAAGTTTTAGAAAAGCGATTTTTCAAATTTTCAGAAAAGTCGAAAAAATGAGTACTTTCAAAAAATTTTCAAATATCCTCTCGCAAAGATTCTTTTTCAATGCCAAATTCAGCGCTGCTGCACAACCGACCATAGGCTACACAATGAGTTATATTTGCGCTACCTTGCTATATTTGATAGTAAGTTATGGTTTCTCAAAGTGAAGGTTTTTCGAAAAAATTCTTGGCAGAATTCCGGCTATAACATTTTTCCCAGTGAAGCTACAACAACACAATAATGCATACTGAGTTGAAAAAGATTTGCTGATTACAACGTTTCTTGTTGCACACGAAAAGACTACTTGTTTAAAAAGTTATAATGATCCAAATACAAAATTCAGAAAACCTGCATTGATTCTGTTACAACCTAATAGCTGTGACTGGCTCTTTCTGTTGTAACTACCCAACAGAGGTTAGCGGTTTCAGTGTCGATACAGTTACTTACTTGTGAGAGAAAGAGAAAAAGAGAAGATAATAACTTCCCCTCTTCCCCCCCCCCCCCAAATGTCGTAAGGAAAATTTTCTGATTTATGGTCAAATTGACATCGTATTATAAAAAAAAAGTCACATGCGTAAGCGGGAGAAGGAGTGGGAACGGGGGAGGGAGTTCTAATTTGAAAATTAAATAACAATATTGACAAACAAAGGAACAGTGTGGTTGTAAAAAACGTTTATTTTACGCCTTAATTTTCAGAACAAAAAATCGGATTCGCTTTTACAAGTGTGATTCATGACTAAATTGCGTTGTTTCTAGGATTTTGAAACAGTTTTTCTGTAAGTGGTGAAAGGAAGGAGACCATTTATGCCCCCAACTACTTGTCTTACCCTCTATCATCTGTATGAGTTTTTCTTTTGATTGTTAAATATTTTATGTGTGAGCTACGCATAGATGGCTCACGGGATTGCTGCAAAGGCATTAGAATTCAACCATTTTAAGTTATTTATTTCTTCTGTACAACCACATTTAAAAGGGTGGAGGACATTAGGTCGCCGAATTTGGAAGAGTCCCGCGCGGATTCCCTGCAGGAACGCGTGTCCGCGCATATATAGTCGTCCTCAACCCACTAGTCGGTCGGTGGTCGAAATTGAAATCGAACTGGGGCAGGTCGGCCGCGACAGAGCGCGGCAGACCGCCCCTCAGCCAACCTTTGCACATGAGGTTTTCTCTTATTTTCTTCGTGTTTCTTTGGTATCTTTCGTATTGCTGCAATGTTCTTAATCAGATTTTTAGATTTCGTACCTTTAGCTATTTTTTGGTGCATTTGTGCTCGTTTGTTTTACATTTTTTCCAGGTAAACCGGGAAGTAGGATGCCGCTGGAAATTTTTGAATGAGAAATCTCTCTTCCGGCAAGTAACATAAACATAAATGTTGTTTGATGAACCGTATCAAGTTTTTGCTTAGAATGTGTACTCTAAACTTTTTTTACGATAGAGCTGAAATTTCTCTTAAAAAATGTTTGTTTCAAAGAGTCAGCAGTATAAAATCTGAATCTGATTGAGAACAATGCCACAATACGAGAGATAGCAAAGAGACGCGAAGAAAATAGGAAAAAATTTCGTGCAAAGGTTGGCTGAGGGGCGGCGTCTGCCGCGCTCTGCCGCGGTCGGCCTGCCCCAGTTCGAATTCAAATTCGACCACCGACCGACTAGTGGGGTGAGGACGATTATACAAGGGTGCGTATTTGTCGCAAATGACCGCGGGGACCGCCCTTTTACGAACGACCTAATGTCCCCCACCCCATTTAAAATAGTGCCGATCCCTCTGTTTTGAATGTAATATATAGAAAAGGAAACTGATTCGTTTACGTAATGTGTCAATCTTAGTTCAAGGCTTTTTACAAAAAGAAGTCTCCAAATTACCTTCTAGCTTCCCTTTGTAAGTTTCCATTCTGTTTCAGTCAGCATCATGACTCGGCACAGGTGGCTTATAAACAAGCTGGATATCGTTTTTGGGACAAAAAGCATATGGGGTTTCGTTTTTGTGACCGAAAAGACGCAAAATTGGCGACGTTTTTTAGTCGACGTTTCGTTTTTTGGAAATTTTCAGGGATTATGGTCTAGATTCAAAGGTGACTTCGTAAAAATTCACAAAGGTCAAGGTGTACCTCGTTTTTTTGCATTTTCAACTAGCCACCTCGTGCCGAGCCCTGGTCAGCATGTACCGTATTACAATTGGGATATGAGAATTACCTTTTTTTATTACTTGGTGAAAAAAGAATAGAGACAACGATTTTGTCGATTTTTTTGGTGAATTCTATGCCGTTTTACGCTCTACTTATATAGCACCACATTCCAAAGTGATTTGATATCTGCGTTTCAAAGGAACTGCATAATAAAAATATTTCAGCTCCACTTTTGGTAAGTAAGAGTGTCGCAATTATAGGTAGGGACTACGCAAATTTTTGCCTAAATCTATTCACCTGTATGTAATACGAGTGAAATGTGAGATGCTTAGATCTCGTTTTGGCGAAATTTTTTTCATCCGATCAATAGATTTCTTTATGTTCGGAATTTTAGCCATCTTCCCGGAAATGACGTACTAGTTCAAATTTTTCGGTTTCCAAACGGTTCAAGGCATGGGAATAAGCATGCATCTCCTCTTTCGATTTCTCTTTTGTTTGAAAAGAGAAAACGCAGCAAAAATAAAATCATTTTTGGTCTTTCAAAAGAAGATATCCAAACGAGGAAGGGAAGCTCTTTTGCTCATGCCAAAAAAATTTTTCTTTTAGGACCTTAGAATACCATTGCTTGGCAGAAATTCACTAGTTACTCCTTATATAATTTGTTATAAAACCGTCTCCATGAAAAAGCATTTGAAATTACTTAAGATCGTCTTTTAACTCTAAAATTGTGCGCATCCAAATCGCTTTTTTTGGTACTACCAGCCTTACCCCACATTTTTATTTGAATTTTCAAATTATAATCCTTGTTGTTTGAGTCGACAAAGGGCTTTTCTTCTTCCAGTGCAGACTTCCTGTTTTTTCCATTATTGTCCATGTCTGTTTCCGCTATTATCACCTATTGCATATTTGCTTGCAAGAAATTCTTATATTGCAGATGACAATGATGGAGAGCAGAATTAGCCGCTGTCGTCCGAGTTCACACAGAGGTTAGTTTACACCCAATTTGCTTAGCCGCTCTAGAATACATTTTCAACACATTTGAAAATCTATTTTTAAAATTGCTTGGGTTCAGAAAAGTACTGATGCTTCGAAGTTATATCCTCGTGATTGATCTCTAATTTCCTTTCTTTCTCTTCTTCCTCTTCCTCACTTCCCCCAAAATATTCGCCATCAAAAAATTTCAATAATTTTTGCTACCGTTGCCGAAAATGCATAAGAACGCCTTAACCTTACAATCTATGGTCTGGCCGTTTCACTATGTCGATAGCATACTGTAAAGTTACGGTAATCATACTGTAGACTAATGACAGTCACGATTATTACGCATGTACATTGGATTCCAGCCAGAAAAAGATGGTAACTTTTTGAAAGTTCGAAAATTTTTGGTTTTTTTCTCTCAAAAAACAGTGGTACTACCGGTACCTGATTTTATATAGTTTTTTGATTGAGATTAAGATATTTTGCTTAAAATATTTAGAAATCCTTTCTCGGAAATTCCACTCAAACCTTATACCATATGAGCACCGTAGCATCGTAGCGAATATGAACGTTCTAATAAGCGTTTCCACTATTTGCTCAAGAAAATTTTTGATCGCGAAATAACTAAAAAAGCTTGATGAGAACTATAAAAAAAACTGTAAGGCCGTGAAATATGGGTATAAATTATCATCACTTAAAAAAATTGTCCTTCCGTCCATTAAGATGCACAAATGGGTTAACTTCAAAAACATACTTTCTCGAAATGGCAAGAAACATAAAAACACCAAAATCGTCGTAAACATGATTAAGATTCTCAGTCGAAGCCTATTGGTTTGGGAATGGTGACAATAGGATAAAAGCACTTTTAAATACAAAATCCTGCACAAGCTTACCCTTCTTCTAGCTTTTATTGTTTATCGGCTGTAGATCATACTTTTAGAAATGACAAGGCATCAGTATGTCATGGAACGCAACAGAGCCTATGCGAACACCCTTCGACCTCCTGGTGAGTCTTGAAAAAAATTATTTTCAACTTTAGATTGTTTATATTTTGATCCAGAACAGTTCCCCTCAATCTGTACACTTTTCTTTTTGAATGCGGTAAAAATATGAAAAGTCTTGCCTTTTAGATTTGATCTTTGTATTCCAGAAGTTACATATAGTCTGTAATTTGTAGAGATGAAAGAATTTGGTTTATTATTTTTTTTCACTTAAAAAAAGTTATCCTTTCTTGTTATTATTTTAAGCACATCGAATCTGGAAAATTGAAAACCATGTGATCACCTGGCTATGCGTACCAATTTGCAGAAAAGCTATTACGTTGTCCCGAAGGTTTTCTGTCCTTTAATTCTTTGAAAATTTGCAATTTCAATGGATTTGCAACCTTATAGTTTGATATGAAAAAACAAGTCCTTTGCTTTTGAATGTTGTTTCCGGCGCTTCTACCACACACTGTCTTCACAGATAAAAATGAAAAAAGAATACCATACGAGCTTTTATCATTTTGAGTTAGGTCGCTAAAAATCTGGAACGCTGCAGAAAAATCTAAAAGGGTCAATATATGCTTTCTTGATTCATCCTCTGCAACACTGAAAAGTTGGTGCTGTTTGGATTTGTCCGGAAAAGTTATGGTTTTCGAGAAGAGTGACAAATTTATTGATTTCAGCGTTTTGTAAAGTAAATTCGATTCTTGACTTCTCATAGAAATGTCCAAATAGCACAAGCTTTCTACAGCTATAAAAAGTAGATGAAAGGAACTTATGTACTGACAATCCCAAATTTTTGCAGTGCTTCAGATATTTGGCGACCCAACATAAAATGATCAAAGCCTATACGGTGTTGTTTTTCCATTTTTATCTCTCCAGTTAGTACGTAGTAGAAGCACGGCAAAATACTATTTGAAGAAAAGACCTAGTCTTTCTAAAAAACTTACAAAGAAGCAAATTCGTTTAGATAGCGCAAAGGTACAAGTTTTGAAAATTCCACAGCACTTTCAGAATGACCTAATACAATGAATCAAAATACGAGTTTTTTTTTTGAATCGATAACGAAAGCGCTTAAAATTTACTTGCTTGAGCGCCTAATTACTTGTTTGTTTATGTATTTTTATCAGTACTATTTTTTTCCCATACTGTGAAAGAGAATACTACTTAGCAAGAATTCTGATACAATTAATGACTTCATCTTCCATTCATCTGTTCATTTATTTAGAGTGTCAAAAAAATAATAGTGCTGAAAAGTCTTTGAATTTCATTGAAGGGCTCTATTTTGGCATTCTTGCGCCATCTGACGTCAATCAGAGTGGCCGAAATGTTTTCGTTTTTCAATCAGAAGTATATTCCTGCTATGCCTTTTGCACTCCTACTCTTCACCTTCAAATTCTCATTTTATCATCTAAAATGTACAATTTTTTGCTGTAATTCGGGCAGTATGACTATGAAAATTTTGTTGGACTTGCACATGTCCTGACTTATAAAAAGTAGCTTGTAATTATACAAATCATCTTACGAATCTTGTGCTAAGCGAAGAATCGGATGCGGGAGGAGTAGCTTATCCGTCCGAGTTACAGAGATCAAAAGTCGAAAGAGAATGGAATCGCCTGAGGCGTAAATAACTTTCACTGGGTTTAGTCAATCATAGTGATTTTTTTTGCTCCATCATTAGAATTTTTTTAACGATAGTCATTGCGGATAGCCATAACTTGTGGCAAAGCATAGCAACATTCTTTTCGAATTTTTTTGAGTAGTACATTAAATGGTGTTATTGTTTGCATGATCATTCAGGTCTTCAAAATTACTTCCGAAATCTACATTTCTAAATTTTCTGTAGCTCCTATGGATCTGAAAAAACGTTATTTGCGGCTTCCTAGAACCTTATCAGTTATTAGGTTGTTACCTAAGTTTTTTATAGAACGGCAAAAAATTTCTTTCTCCAACAATTTTTCCGCATTTCTAAATTATGTGGCCTTGTGGATCTTCGCTTACAGCTTACACATAAAAATCAATTTTTGATCTTTTTCGAAAATTTTCTGATTTTGACAGATTTTCACATGAGTTTTTGAAGTGCTTCAACTTCCGAACTGCCTTCGTTTCACTGCTGATATACACGGAAGTCTACAAAATATCCAAAAAGTTGAAAAAGGAGAATGACAGAATTTTAAGAATAAAAAAAATTGGAGGTTGAAGCACAACTAGATAACTGTCTTTATTTCCTTTTTTCATAAATCAAGTTGTATGGTAAAAATAATGTTATGGACAGCTCTTTCTCCCTTCCCCTAATATACTCAAAAATGAGACTTTGCTGGATTTCCTAAGCTTTCCAAAGGGGACCGAAGAAAGTGTAACGGATCTATGTAACAACCTAATTAATTAAATGGTGATATTGTTCGCATGAACCTTCAATTTTTGAATTTTCCGCAGTATTACATTCCAATTCTTCTGTGCTTTCAGGGATTTGGAGACATTATTTACAATTCAAATTTTAAAAAATTAGTAAATCTTGAAAAAATTAGTTTTCTTTTCTTTTTAACTTGACAAAAAAAGCCTAAAAATCTCCTTTTTTCATTCTTTCTACCCTGATAGACCATGCTCAAACGTAAACGATAATACATAAACAAAATAAAGTTATTCATAGCATCTCAACAGACAGATTCTCTCGTGACAAGTTGCTGTGAATTACGAGAAGTCTCACATTGTTTACTCCGACTAGGAAATCCGAATCCCGCAAATGCACAGCTCGAAGAGGCGATGAAGCCATTTCTAGGGTCACACCCTCTAGCCGTGTTCTTATACACAACGCTCATTTACTACATATTTATCCAGTAATAGTATGAAAAGCATATCAACAAGTGGCCCAATCAAGCTCTGCAACATTTCTTTCGAGACGCAGTTGCCCTTTCCAGGAATTTGTCATCGTGCAACTTTTATAACCTATCTTCTGAGTCCTATCGTAATATAGAAACATCTTTATAAATTTCTCACTGAAAACTCCAAACTAAAAAAACTAAGAACTGAAAACTAAAAAAATAAAAAGAAGTTTTTCTAAAAATGCTTTGAAGATCTTCTGTTGTACTATACATATATTTTAGTGAATAACATATGTGCTGTGTTTGCTTAGGATATTAGAGAATTTATTTTAAACAAAATCGAAAGTTCAGAAAAAGAAATTCGTAGAGACAAGCAATTAGCATGAGTATTATTGAGTTAATGCAAAAAATGGCTCATTTTTCAAGCCTTTTTTCAGGGCAACTTGTTCCTTTTAAAATATCTTTTTTGAAAAATGTTTAGTACACCACTGAAAGGCTGTTTTTATGTTCTATCTAATGATGGTTGAAGGGGGCTTCTATCCTCATATGCTAAGTTACTGAGCTTCAAATAATCGCATCCGATTTCAGAATTTTGTTGCATTCACTTCTCTGGCCAGAATTTGAATTGAAAAAAATTTGAATGGGGCTTCTTCGAAAATTCAGCTATTTTATCTTATAGAAATTGTCTACATTATGTATTTTTAACTTTTAATTTGAAGTTATCCAGACTGAGATATCGGTGCCTCAACATGGGTAGCCGTAGAGGTCATTCTATGACCCACAGATTCCGTTTGAAGAAGGCAACAAAGCTTTGCTCAGCTCTGTAAACGTAATCCTAGGACATCCCAGCAGCAGTTTTTGCAAAATATCCAGCTGTTCAGTAGAATTGGGAAATCCTATATACGAATTTTTGAGGCTTACTGAAAATTGTTCAAAATACCTTTTCGCAAACTTTTTTCTCCAAACCCTTTTTCATAGTTTTATGTTCATTGGCTTGCAGCTACAAGATAAGCTACTTATATTTCATACTAACAAACTTTGAAGAAAGTTATAATTCGTCAAAGACGAGGTTTCAGAAAAAAAACCTTTTTTGTCTTACAATCCATATTGTTCAGTTTATGATACTGGTGCAGGTAAATGTGCGCTCTATTGCAAAAGGTTTGCTGCTTCTGGTGATTTTTACCGCACTCAGAGAAATTGATGTTTCGGAAAGTTATAGCACGTTAAAATGAGAATTCGCAAAACGGCCACTATTTTTGCATCAACCTAGTATGTGGGTCATAAAACCCAAACAAAACTCAAATAATATCACTGAACTTCATAAGCTTTTCTCATCAATTGCTTATATTGTTGCAATAATGCCAATAATGAAAATTGGTTCAAATTTAGCTAGGAAACTGCTGATTTTATCTCGGTACACGAATCAGCCACTCTTTGAAAAAAGGAGATTGCTAAATTTTAAGAACTTCTTTGCATGTTTCACCCTAGCATAACTATTTTAAAATTTGCAAGTCTACTGAACAAGACCTGAGCACGAACATTCAAACAGCTACACTTCTTGAACCTCCTTGGAACGATGGCCTTTTTGCATCATTACATTATGTCATTTCTCAAAATTCATGCTTAGTTGTAATTAACTGTACACCAATATGATTAGTGGCTACTGTTTTTGGATACATTCGGTTGGTATGAGCATAGACAAACCTTTCCTACTATAGTGATTTCACCAGCATTTAGAATTCGGGCAATAAAAAATATTACCGTGAAATATCTGAGAGTAGGAATTGTGTGTAACTATAACTATAGACGCAAACCTTCCACACTTTTGATAAAACCAAAAACTTACCTGTTTGCTATTTTTACTGAACGCTCAAGATTTTCAATGGCCCAATAATTGCGAAATTTTCCTAATTGATTGTTCCACTCATTGTAAATGCTAGGATTAAGTGCAGGTTTTTCAAATGAGCCAAGAGGCATCACACTTGTCTTCGCCACTTCAAGAATAGCACTTTCAAAGAAATTTAATTAATCAAAAATTCTTATCGGACAAATAGGGCGGCGATGGAGCTCGCAATTCTGCGAAGAATTTCTATGCTTAAACTGAAAACAGATGCTATGCTGCAGCTTATGTAGTCATCTAGAACTCTTGCATATTCATCTTTATTCTTGGGTTTGTAGTTTTGCCCTGCTAGACATGCTTG